TTGATTGTGGATCCAAGCAATATAAAATCCTTGACACCTTCAACCTTTTCTCCATTTAACATGATGCTACCTATTTGTCCAGTTGTGAGGATTTGGGTCTCCCTTACATTGAATTGTAATCCATATTCAAAGCTACAATCCTTGGTTTTTATCAGCAAAAGCTTCAAGTCTTCCTCACGTTCAGCAAGCAAGGTTGTGTCATTTGCATATCTCGGATTATTCATAAGCCTTCCTCCAATCCTGATGTCGCATTCTTCTTCATACACTCCAACTTCTCTGATGATTTGCTCAGCATATAGATTGAAACCGTATGGTGAGAGGATACAACCCTGATGCACACCTTTCCTGATTTTAAACCACACAGTATTCCCTTGTTCTGTTTGCACAACTTCCCCTTGATCCGTGTACAAGTTCCTCATGAGCACAATGAAGTGCTCCACAATCCCCACTCTTCTCAAAATTATCCAGAGTTTATTATTGTCCACAGAGTTGAATGCCTTTGGGCAGCCAATGAAACACAAGTAAGCATCTTTCAGATATTCTATAATTAGAACCAAAATCCCTCTGACATCAGCAATATCTTGTGTTCCACATCATCTTCTGAATCCAGTCTGATCTTCTGACAGTTCACCGTCAAGGTGCTGCCATAACCACCGTTGGATGATCTTAGGAAAATTTTACTTGTGTGCGATACCAAGGATATTATTCCATAGTTGGAGCATTCTGTTGGGTCACCTTTCTTTGGAATGGGCACAAATACAGATCTCGTCAAGTCAGTTGACCAGGTAGCTGTCTTCCAAAGTTCCTGATATAGTGAGCGCTTCCAGTGCTTCTTTAGCTTTCTGAAACATTTCAGTGGGCTTCCCATCTATTCCAAGAGCCTTGTTTTCCACTAATGAGTTTAGTGCAGCTTGAACTTCTTTCTTCAGCCCCACTGGTTCTTGCTCATATCCTACCTCCTGAAATGGTGAACTGCCAACTACTTCTTTTGGTACAGTGACTCTATGCTCTTTCTATTTTCTCGTGATGCTTCCTGCATCATTCAATATTTTGTTGACAGAATCTTTCAAAATCACAATTCACGGCTTGAATTTTTTTCTTGAGTTCTTCCAGTTTCACATATGCTGAACGTGTTTTCCCTTTGGGCTTTCTTATTCTAGGTCCTTTCACATTTGGTGATAGTATATGGCTTTGGTTTCGCAAGTTGACCTTTGACATTTCTGTTCAGCTTCCTGCTATCATACTTTCTTCCATTTGCTTTAGCTACTATATGATTAAGAGCAACTTTCAGAATCTCTTCTGACATCCACTTTGATCTTTTCTTTATTTCCTATTTTTTAATGACCTTTTGCTTTCTTCATGAATGATTGTCATCCCATTGTGTCTTCCAACACATGTAGTCAATTTGATTTTTGTGTGTTCCATCTGGGGAAGTCCATGCATATAGTTGCCTTTTGTGTAGTTGAAAAAAAGTACAGTATTTGCTATTAGCTACCACTACCAATTACTCTGAGAAGGATCAAACCAGAAAGTCCTGGATATAGTGGGAGAAAAATGTAGAATAAAATTATGAATAATTAAAAATCCCAATCTTCCTGGTTGGATAGAGACTGGAGGAATCTGCAAGATTATAACCCTTGGGCACCATTCAGGTCTGGAACTGAACTCATTCCTGTGGCTCCATTTTCGACCAAACAATAGATGCATCATTAAGGGGAACAATAACACTAATGAGGCATGCACACTTTAGAATTATCAACTATTTTAGATCTAAGGGGCAACATTTACCCAAGGACAATGTGCAGAAACATTAGCAAAGAAGAGGGAATGGAAAGAAACAGCACAGGGAGGAAATGGGATTAATGATGTTACATTATGGAAACTGCAATTAATAAAATGAAGCAAAGTATGTATGAATTATTAAATGTGAAACTGACCTTGTCTCTAAACCTTCACCCAACCTTCACAGTAAAACATTAATTTAAAAGTTCATGGGAAAATGTTATTATTTTTTCATTCAAGTGAACTTTTTGAAGCCCTCTTCTAGGTCAATCATATCTCAATAAAGGTCCTTAGTGGTTCCGCGAACCAAAAGTTTGATGGTTAGAGCCACTCAGCAGGAGACAGCTGTAACAGTCTGCATCCATAAAGACTTACAGCCTTGGGAATTCTAGGGGGTAGTTCTACTCTATTCTATAGGGCTAATATGAGTAGCATTCCACTGAAGGGCAAAGGATTATGGATTTTAAAAGCTGTTAAAAATAGGAATAAAATAAAAGTGACCAGGCCCTAAGTATGGACAGAGCAAGGACTCATAAAGAGCCTAGTGGCTGTCATAATAGCAACAGGAAAACACAAAACCACCAAGTAGATTCCATCTCATAGTGACCCTACAGAACGAGGTAGAATTGCTCCCGTGGGTTTCTGAGACTGTACCTCTTAATGGGAGGAGAAAACATCATCTTTCTCCCAAGGAACAGCAGGCAGATTCAAACTGCTGACTTTGTGGTTAGCAGTATAATTTGTAAACACTAACAAAAACATTGTAATCTAGATCACCAGTGACTTTTAAGTTGCTAAATCAAAGAACTCTCAGACATCATCTATCTTACTGGGCATAACTACATTTGAAGCCCATTATTATTTTTCCAAAAGCCCTGGTGGTGTAGTGATTATGCATTGGGCTGCTAATCGGTAGGTCAGCATTTTGAAACCACTAGCTGCTCCTCGGAAGAAAGATGAGACTTTCAACTCCCATAAAGAGTTAGAGACTTGGAAACTCACACGGGCAATTCTACCCTGCTGTACAGGGCCCCTATGAGTCAGTATTGACTTGACAGGGAGTTTGTCTGCTTACTTGTTTGTTTGTTTGTTTGTTTGTTTGT